TTCCTCATCATCACTGTCTTTACAAATCTGGAATGTGTCAAAGGCCTTCTTGAAATTGCTAGCATTATCAGTTACTGTACACACTACCTTTGTTGCATCAAGCTCAAACTGTTCATGAATCGCGCAAATCAGTTGAGCTACATTGTCAAAAGTGTGACTTCCAGTAATGTGGCGTAATGCTAATGCTCGGGACTGTCGCACATTTCCTTTTGAAATTCAGTGGATTGTCATTCCCAAGAAACTTTTTCTATTTGATGACAAAAAAATTCAATTTAATTTCGAAACAAATGAAAAACTTTTTATTTTATTTAAAAATAAGTAACTCACATCTTAAAGTAAAAACCTCATGTCCAAACAGTGGCGGATGAAGACTTCTTGGGGCCCGGGGTTATTTTTTTTTGGAGGCCTTTTTATGGGCTAGACCCTAACAATGACAAAAAAAAAAAAGGTTGTCTAAAATTTTTTGGGGCCCCTAAATTTGCGAGGCCCGGGACTATAGCCCCTAACCCCCTCCTTTCTTGTTCCGGTACTGTGTCCAAGTTTCGAAAACATGATTCAGGGTCCCAAGGCAGAAAAAAGAACAAACGTCCAATGCAAGAGTGTAGCTTCAATAAAGTTCAAAAAAAAGGCGTTTAATAACTCTATGTCCGACCAAGTAGTCAAGGTATAGGTTACAGCTTTTTTTTATTATTCACAACCTTATTTTCATAATTTCATTCCAAAACTGTAAAAACATTTCTTTTTTAGACAGACCATGCTACCAAAAGATGAACCCTTGAGTTGATGAACCCTTGAGTCGAAGAAAACCATCTTCCCCTTCAAGTTTTTTAACGGTCTCTGAAGAATAAGATGATCATCGGGTGAGTTTGGGAGGCATTCTTCTTTTATAAAAAACCTGTAGATATTAAAAACATTTAATGTCTGCAGCGTATCATTTAATATCTTTCTATTAAAAACTCTCAAATGTTTTTTTTTCTATTTAGGATCAAAAGACAATTCAACTGGGTAATCAAGCAGTTAGAAACGACCCCGCTTTGTGGGAGAGGGTTTTATCCAATGTCGAACGCTATCTAGTCGTACTAAAAAAAAATTTTCCTATTTTTTCTACAAACAAAAAAGTTCCTGCCTCCGTTTTTTACGAAACTTCTCTCAACGGATGAACAAAGTATGGCTTATCTGGAGTGGAACTGCAAAAAATTTCGTTTGTTTTCTCTGCACTATTTTTGGACAAAAGCATAATTTTGGCCATTTCAGTCTAATTTTTCAAGGCTTCAAAGGCTAATTTCAGTCTTTCCTCATGATGTGGAATGATGGATTAAAAGATAATTTGCTAATACTAGGAGAAAAGATTAAAAGCCACCAGTGTAATGTTCTAGACAGAAATCTAAAATTAGCCTTTGAAGCCTTGAAAAATTAAACCGAAATCGATTCAGAACTTGAATAGTCAATAAGAAATGAGGCATCTAAGTGGTATGAAATTTTACGCTGCGTCCTGGACTTCACTATACATTTAGCTTCGAGAAATCTAAGTTTTCAAGGTGTGTTAAAACAACATAAAACAACTTTATTATTGCTAGGAATAAATATACATTTTTACAATTTTATTAAGGTGCCCCAAGAAGTCCTTACGGTCTTACCACACAGCACCGTGGATGAACATTTAGTTTGAAGTTCACGCCTTTTTCCTAACTGATGTCACAAAACTTACCCAAAGGTGGGGTTTGAAACACGGATTCTTTGTTTCTAAGGCGCCACGGCTGCTCATATTAATCTAGATATAATCTTTATATCTAGATTAATATGAGCTTTAAGTTTTACAAAAGCAAAATAAGATTCATCATCCAAAACAAAATGTCTTATAAAAATGTCTATAAAAAATATTTTTTATATACGAGCGATTGTTCTTTGCTGCTGAGACCATTTCGCTAGTGATTCTCGGGGACGGTGTTTAACGTTTGCCTTCATTTTTAACAGTCTATGAGTATGTCTGTTAAAAACTTTGTCAAGATATGCAGCCAGCCGGCTAAATTTAGTTTTTCTTATTTTTGTGATTTTCTGTTTCAATTTTTTTTTACTTTCTACCACCATCCCCCGCTCGTAACTTTTAATTATACAATATACAATTGTTTTAAGGGAACCTTTTACTTTAAAATTTTTAGTAAATAGTTTTCCTTGTGTAATGTTATTTTTATAAAACTTATACACGTGTTTTTTTACATCAGCTAGTTTTTATAACTAAAGAACAATTATTTTTATTAAAAATTTATTTTGTAATTACTTATTGTCTAGTTTACATACACACAAAGACATATGTTGTTATTAAACAATTTGCACATAAGCTATTGTATTTTGTGGAGTTCCATTTTTAAGAAATACTACTGTTTTAATCAAAATAAAGTCAACCACTCGCTACTACTTCACAAAAACAATACGCACAAAGCATATGGTTTTGACGAATATGTCTGCCAGTCGATAAATGCACTTCTATCCAATCAAAAACAACAATTTATTATAGAAAATTCTATAACAAATTATATAAACTTGACTGGTTGAACGTCCTCAGTGGTGTGCCTCATGTATTAGATCACTCCTGTTCTTCATTTATTAATAATAGTCTGCCTCGTCTGCTCAATCACCATTGCAAACTTTATGCTAACGACGCCAAACTTATTGCAATTATTAAAGAGCCCTCTGACCTGCAACGATTAAAAACCGACAACAATAGAGTAGTTGATCGGGCTGACACACGGTCAATGAGCTTCAATCTCTAAAAATGCAAGTACATGATTTTCAAGAAGCATCGTTGCAGACTAAAAAAAAACAACCTTATTTGATGATAAATTTAACGGCCCCTGCTTTCACTTAATAATGACTGACAAAACTGGCTTTGCTCACATTCTTGAAAAGACCTGAATGTGAACTTAGTGTTGTTGTTCACAATCAGTTTTTGTGGAACTATCAAGTAGAAGTGGGGTCAAAACCGTCAATTCTTAAAAAAAGTCTATATCTAGAACTTTCTTATTTGAAAAAAAAAAAAAAAAAGGTTCTATAGAACAAAAAGTGGGGTTGGGGGTGGGGTGGGGTACGCGCTACCTTCCCTTCCTTCTCCCCGGTGTCGTCGACCCTGTAGAGTTTTGCTCATTTGCATGGGGATCCTTTTCAATTGAAAATATAAACGCTCTTGAATGTGTTTAAAATTGAGTCATAAAACCTGTCCTATATCTTTATACCACGAAAGCCAAGGCTTGGCTATCGGTATTCAATCACTTGAAAATTGACAGCGCTGAAGCATTCATATCCAATATTTCAAGATTTGTCATGGCATAGGCAAAGTTGAATGGACGAATTCACCATTTCCGGCTCTTGCAATTGAGCAATCTGGACCAGTCGATGGTCTTCGAGCACTAGGAATTATTAAATGTGCAGCTCGCATAATTTTTGGTAGCCAATTGATCACTATTATATGATCTTTTTTTTTTTTGTAAATTTATTTGCCTTCAATAAAAAAATTACAATTACAAATTAGCTTTTGTTACAAATATAATCGGCAGAACTTCCAGAAGATCATATGATCTTATCATGAAGCCCTTTACAATATCAAATATAATCATGAAAACAATAAAATGAAATTAACCAATAAAAATAAATTAACATAAACTACCCTACGGGCATTTGTTTTTGAAAGTTACGTTCTAAATGTCTTTTAAACGTCTTTTAAACGTTATTTACGTAAGAGTGTTTAGAAGACGTTTAAAAGACATTTAAAATACAATCAGAACGTAACTTTTAAAAACAAATGCCTGCTTGGATATATATATAACTGTGCATTTAAAATACAAATATACAGGATAAAATATATGAAACAAAATAACTAAAAACAAAAGAAAAATATTTTCTGCCGAAAAGAAACTTTTAATTTTCGTTTAAAAAAAGTTAAAGTCCGTTTCAAAGACAAATCAAAATTTGGCAAAACTATTTTATTCCATAAATAAGGACCACGATAAGAAATGATTAGTTGTTCAAATTTAGTTTGGCAGAAAGGTTGTTGTAGATTTTTTCCATTGCGAAGATTGTATTTGTTTATGGCTTTTACATTATAAAGGTTTATAAATACATCAGGAGATAAATGATTTTTACATTTAAACATGAAACATAAAATATTATAAACATTTAGTTCGTATACATTTAAGGCTTTCATTTCTCTCAGAAGTGGTTTTGAGTTTGAAAAACGATTTTCAAAATTAATTAAGCGAGCTGCATGTTTCTAATGCTGATAAAAAGTTTTAAGTTTAGTTTTGTGCGCGCTTCCCCATACAATATTTGCATAATTTAAATGGGAGTGGATAAACGAATAATATAGTTGTTTTAATTGTTTTTTATTTAACATATGTCGAACTTTATATATAATTCCAATACTTTTAGCAACTTTCATGGAGATATTATCGATTTGTTGTTTCCAGGATAAGTTTTCGTTTACAAAACCTCCAAGAAGTTTTGTAACTGTTTCCTTTTTAGTATTGTATTATCAATAAAGAGGTCGGGCATCGTATTTGGTAAACATTTTTTTCTGGATATTGGGTATATTATTTACAATATTGAGATCTCATAACATTTCATAGAAATGTATCAGAAATTGTCAACATTAACAATTTCTAAAATAAGCTTGACGGATTTTTTGGCTCACTTACTTTGGTACTCTGTTTCTCGATTGGAAATGTCTATGTACCGATTTTTTTTATTATTATTTATTTTTGTTTGTTAATCCTCTATAATGATTCTACTATAGCATGGATTGGTAGCTTATCCATTTTTGCATTTCCGATTTTTTCGTTATAGATTAAATTTAAGAATGATAATAAAAAGTGTTGCGCAGACTTTCTAAACGACGATAATTCAAACGAAGCGTTTTTCGCGTTCGATAACAAACGAGGGTAAAACAACGTTTTGTTATTACTAATTGATAAGCTTTAATTCAATTTCGTTTTAATTCAGTAAACGGATGATTCCGTAATTTAGCCAATTTAAAAACGAACAAAACTTTTAATTAACTAAATTAAGAATAGTAAAGTAACTTAACGTAATAATATAATAAAACTCTGAAAAAAACTGCTGCATTTTTTAAATAAATTATGATGTTCATATGTTATTCAAGAAATAAAAAAGGTAATGAATTTTTTTAGTGAACAGTTAAATTGTAATGCAGCTGAATGTTAAAGAACGAGAGTTGTATATAAACAATATAAGTATGAAACTTACTTCAGGAATGTCGTTTTTTAGTAAAATTTATAATAATTAAGTATATTTTAAATATTTATCCTTAAAAAAAATTAATTAAAAAAAAAACGATACCAATTTTTTAATAAAAAAGTACAACGCTTATTTTGCATGAATAAGTCTTTTGAATAAAAATAAAAATTAAACTATCTGAATATTTTTTTAACTTTCCTTCTGAAAAACATTTTTGAATTAAACATTGTAAAAATTGTTTTAAATGTTTTTAGCAAACTTGATGTCTAAGTGTGTCAAAACTCAACTTTTGAAAACTTATTGCATATCCAAAAATTCAAAATATAAGAGAAATTAAAATAAAATAATATTTCTTTTTTTTAAAAAAATCTTAATTATAAAACATATGCTTTATAATTAAATCATCAGATCATTATCTGCAACTTTTTTGATCATCTTTTGAAACTTAAAAATCGTGTTAATATATTTAAAATATATTCAATTTTATAATACATTTAAAATATAATTCAAGCATCCAGTTCTAAAATATCAATATCTGAAATAAAAGTTGATTATTCATATTTTTTTAATTTAGATGCAGCCAAGTTAAAATGATTAATATTCAAAGATGACATCAAAGTCTGATTTAAAAAGACATATCCCACCGCTATATGGTTGGCGGGTTAATCTTGATCATGAGTTTTCAGAAAAACCCAAAGTGTTTGTGTTTCCACGACTGTCACAAGCAAGAAAGCTTGCAGGGATGGCATTCAGGTATTTTATGACAAAGTATAATTAAATTGTCTGACTAGTCAAATAAATGAAATCAAACTAGTGACCTAAATTGAATGTATATCCAGGGGATTTACATTCAATTTAGGTCACTATTTTACTAAGTGAGTCACAACAACTGAAAATGCTACTATTCTACTGTTGTTACTTTTTCTCAACCCTATAACTCCAAAACAAAAAACTTAGCAATTAAAAACAAGTTGAGTCCAGTACTTCTACTTTTGTTTTTGTATCTGGCTGTGGTATATATAGCTCTTTAGGCATTGTCATATTTCTGGAAATTTACACTATTTACATACCTTTTCACATTTATTCTTCTACTGTTGTTACTTTCTTTAACCCTATAACTCCAAAACAAAAAACTTAGCAACGAAAAACAAGTTGAGTCTAGCACTTCCACTGTTTGTTTTTTTGTTTTGTTTTTGTATCTTGCTGTGGTATATACAGCTCTTTAGGCATTGTCATATTTCTGGAAATTCACACTATTTACATACCTTTTCAAATTTAAATTTTGTTCAATGTGAAAATTGTGGACCATCAATCCTGCAAATCGTGGACCAAGTCAATATTATGAGCTACCTGACATGATCATGTTCCAAGAAGGTTAAGTTTTTTTTTTTTTAAATGTTTAAATTTATAGATTTGAGCCATTCCAGATCATTACTCCTCACAGTAGCTTGCTAAGACTTGTGTTTGGAGTTAAAGGATTAATAAAGGGTTGCAATAGCCATTTAAATTTTTTTTTTTTTTTTTTTTTTTTTTGCAGCAATGATCTTTGCAGCTTCTGCAGAAGAGTTGAAAACAGTAGAAAATACTAATACTTTACTTGACCTGTTTTTTCAGTGCCATTTATTTTTCATGTACATAGTGTATATTATAGTTAATTATATATATATATATATATATATATATATATATATATATATATATATATATATATATATATATATATATATATATATATATATATATATATATATATATATATATATACATACATATATATATATATATATATATATATATATATATATATATATATATATATATATATATATATATATATATATATATATATATATATATATATATATATATATATATATATATATATATATATATATTAGGGTGTCCCAAAAAACAACATTTTTGAAAATAATCTGCTCTCACCCCCTAAATGTGTTCTATCTAATACAAAAACACTAGGTTTAAATTTTTTTTGAATAAAAAATATTTCAAGGGGTCCCTCAAGACCCTCGAATATTTAATGGGTCCCTAATATTTTGGAAAAAAAAGTTTTTCAAAAATATGTAAACCTGGTACTCTAATAAAGCGAAATTATATAAATATTTCAAAAATAATATTCATTTTGAAATATTTTTAACTTATTTATCAAAATTATCATAAAAAAACATTAGAAATGCATTTTTTTCATTTTTTCTTAAAAAATGCAATTTTTTATGTAATAAAGCCAAAAATAACAATTTTGTTTCGAAATGAATATTATTTTAAAAATTTTTATATAATTTCGTTTCATTTGAGTACCAGGTTGACATATTTTTGAAAAACTTTTTTTTCAAAAATATTAGGGACCTATTAAATATTCGAGGGTCTTAAGGGACCCCTTAAAATATATTTTATTCAAAAAAAATTTAAACCTAGTGTTTTTGCATTAGATAGAACACATTTAGGGGGTGAGAGCAGATTATTTTCAAAAATGTTGTTTTTTGGGACACCCTTATATATATATATATATATATATATATATATATATATATATATATATATATATATATATATATATATATATATATATATATGTGTGTTTTTTATTATAAAACTTACAATAAAAATAAATCAGATTTAAAAAAGAAAATCCTTGTAGTTTTTCCTAACTAAAATTTAGAATATTTTAGGTCTCTCTTTTTTTACAAGGGTCATTAGAAATCTTGAGAAAATTGTTCATTCTTTTAAAAAATTTCCTTCTTCATTCATCATAGTATTATTATATTCACACTATGATGAATGAAGACGGAAACTTCTTTTTTAAATCTGAATAATTTTATTGTAATTTTTATTTTTTTGAATTGTGAATTGTAAAGAAAATTATAATGAACTTAATAAGTGTCGTGTTTTTAAATTACCTAAAGATAAAGTTGAGAAGCAGAAATGGATTAACGTGCTTCCTCCATGTAAAGATTTTGTTATAGAGCCATCTAAATTTTTTATATGTGAAAAACATTGGCCTGAAAATACAGAAATAATTAAGCATCCTGGTGGCTTTACTCAACCATATGTGCACCAAGTATTTTTAATGATCCTTTTTCTTGTCTACCAACACCAAAGTCAGTGCTTCGCCAATCTAAGCCTTAAATTATTAAACTTAATTATTTTCTTAAAAAAGACAAAATAAATTCGTTTTCTGAATTCTATCCTGATGAAGAATTACACAAAAAGTATGAAGGTATTGTAATATTTTGGCAAAAAGATAAATTCATATATTTTTATGTCGAAGGATTTTAAAGAGAGCTTCATGACAATAATTGTTTACAATAAGTGTACATTGTGTTCATCACTAACTTTTTCTGCTTTTAAACATGGTATCAGTGTTCCATTAAGCAATATATTGAATCTCAATAATGGCTTAGACTTCTACTCACAAATTTTTGAAGCAGTTTATTTAGTTTATAATTACAATCCGCATGTTAATGATATTACTGAAAAGGTGATAATTATTCGTTCAGAACATAAATTTAAAATCAATGGTGATATCAAGCAAAAGAAACTGAATTTTATTACAAGACAGTTTAAACTATTGTGATATAAAAGTTTTTCTATAGCTGATTATTGCTTGGCTATTGAGTCTTTTTATAACACCAGCTATGATTAAGTTTGTGATTTTTTAGTGCTTCCAAGTAAACGAAAACTGCAGTCTATAATTTTTGCCACAAACATCAATCTTGTATTACAAAAAACATTTAAAAAAGTAATGAACAATCATCAGAAAAATGCTTTTTTAATAGTTGATGAGGTAAAAACTAGACCAAAAAATGCTTATTCTGGCAGAGTTTTATGTGGGATGGCAAAAAATGATCCAGAGTCTAAAGTAACTTCTATGCTATGTGTAATGATGAAATGCTTACCTGGTGGACCTAGTTTAATGATTTCTGTTACACCTGTTTACAAACTAACATCAATGTATCAATTCAGTGTTGTGAAAGAAGCTGCTGTTTGATGATTAGCGTGTTTGGTCTGTTTTGTTTGATACAGTTCATCTTCTTAAATGTTTGTGTAACAACTGGATTTCTGAAAAGTGTCAAAAGTTATCTCAGAATTGAAGGAGAATTTTCTGTTTACAGATAATCAACAGAGGCAAATGCTTTTATGGTAGCTGGGGGTGTTTTTTCTGCTTTTAAAAAGCGTTTAACTCTATTTGCTGCAGCGTTTCTAGAATTAGTGGTAGTAGAACAACCAAATAAAAAAGATCACACATGTGAAGTTCCAATCAGTTTTGAAGATGCGACTTCAATTGAAACTTGGATTTATGATGTAAGTCTTTCAGAAACTGAAGAGAACTCTGCTGCCTATATGGAGAAAAATGTGAGGATAAACCTATACTAACAAATGAAGCTAAAGACTTTATTGAAGAGGTTTTACAAGGATATTTGACAGTTCCTCATGAGTGTACTAATCAGCTAGTTAGAATTGGGTTATGCTTTGTAAACTAAACACAGAGCATGTTGTAGAAAAAGACTTATAAACATTCTGTCTATAATGGATACGTATTATGATTTTGCTTTATCATTAAAAAATCTTTATTGGCGTTTGGCTAATGTTCTTTTGCATGGAATACATAATTTGAAAAAAGGCCAAGCAATAAATTCGTGTCTTTATCAGACATCAATTAAAAAGGCACACCTTGCCAAGTAATAATTATAGATAAACTTTGTTAATTTGTGTTTGTTCTTAATTTGTTTATGGAGTTTTATATACTGACTGCAGATGAACTTTCAAAAGTTTTATTACATTGACTTTTTATTCTTTATAAAAAGGTTTTATAGTTGTTATTAATTTTTACTTTGTTATTAAGTTTTTAATAATACTAACTTATATTCACTGTAAAGTTATTTCATTAATATTGATTTTACAAAACATTTTTTGGTTAAATTTAATTTTATAAGCCTTTAGTAAGAAGTATTTAATTGGCTTTGCTAGTGAAGTCAAAAATTTGAGTTTGTGGGTCATATATATATATATATATATATATATATATATATATATATATATATATATATATATATATATATATATATATATATATATATATATATATATATATATATATATATATATATATATATATATATATATATATATATATATATATATATATATATATATATATATATATATATATATATATATATATATATATATATATATATATATATATATATATATATATATATATATATATATATATATATATATATATATATATATATATATATATATATATATATATATATATATATATATATATATATATATATATATATATATGGTTAGAATTCAATAAATATGGCTGCGTATAAACTTTTTTTAAATATATATATATATTTTCTTTAATATATAATTATTTCGATATTTCGCTGATCTATTGTGATCAGCATCATCAGGTATAATAAACAAAATAGTTACAAAATCGTTATAGTAAAAACAAACCGTTAAAAAGATAACATTAAAAAGCCATAATATAATACAGAAAAAAACTTTTCAAACAACTGACGTCAGCAGATTTTATTAAAAAATGGCCCCCAGGTTTTGGTTGTTACGTTATCACCGTCATCACGATTGAGAACCACGTCACCATTTCTCATCTCCTGTTGAACCCTAGCCTTGCTTATTTTGAGTGACTCTCTGATTTTCCGAGATCGATATTCTGGGGCTACAGATAATGTTTTGGGGTGCAACCAATCAAA